TCCTCTACACTGGAGCTACAATTCAGGTTCCCATCCCCCTGTTGAATTAGTTTAAACCCTCCCGAAGAGCATTAGCAAATTTCCCCCCCAGGATATTGTCAAAATGTCCAACTGATACAGGGCTGAATTCTGCTATGCCCTGAACAATGTGGGCAATGAGGAGATAGCTGGGAAAATATGGCGAGAATGGAAAAAATGTGAGTTTTGATGCCAGGTGACAAGAACATCCAATTTAGCGCATGAAGTTTCCATGGCTAGATAAGGGTCTCACTTGTGGGTGTCGAGGGACCTATTTGCATGCATTAATATTTCATCATTGTTACCTAATTTTGCCTTATCTATATGCAGGCTGCTATCTTCCCCAGCAGTGGAGAGAAACCAGATGGTGGCAATTCCCAACATTAACGTCTGAGAGGATACCTAGCGACTAAATTTCCTGGTTTCTTCTCCAGGTTTCTGTCTTGCCAGCATTCACCAACACCTAATAAAAACCAAAAGAACTGCGGATGCTGTAAATCAGGAACAAAAACAGAAGTTGCTGGAAAAGCTCAGCAGGTCTGGCAGCATCTGTGAAGAAAAAGTCAGAGTTAACGTTTCGGATCCATTCTGAGCAAGGGTCACTGGACCCGAAACGTTAACTCTGATTTTTTTCTTCACAGATGCTGCCAGACCTGCTGAGCTTTTCCAGCAACTTCTGTTCTTGCTCACCAACACTGACATGGGCAGATACTGCCTGGAAATCGCACAAATAGAGGCTGGAATAAGCTAAGCACAAGCCTCAGCACACCACATTGGTACATCTCAGACTCACTCACTTCAGTATTACACTTTGGAACTCACCAATACCCAACAATTCAATTCTGCTGCCAGAATGCTTTGCACACAGGAACAGGCTCCAATTTCATGCATTGGCATAGGCTGTATCTCAGGGCTCTTGGGTTGCTTTCTCAGTACTCACTCACTTTGCACCTACTTAGATGCTTACAGCATCTCTGCCTTGCCTAGTCTTTTTGCTCGTTGCCACCTCATTTGGAACTTAAATGCTCAACATACTGGTCTGGCAGCACGTGGAGAGAAAACAGTGATAACGTGTCGAGTTCTAGATTTTGAGCCCTTTTATATTCTAAAAACCACCATAAGGGGGATATGAAGATATTTCAACTTGTAAGGAATCTAAATCTTAAGAATTTAAGTGCAATGATATTCACTGAGAAATCCAAAAGGAACTTGGAAAAAAAATTTATTTCCCCAGACAATGGTTAGTATGCGGAACTTATTAACATGTGGAGTAGTTGAGTAAAATATCATGAATACATTTAAAGGGAAGCCAGTTTTTCTTACCTCTCCATTGTCATTTTTCTTCCTTTCTCTCTCTCAATCCAATTTTTTCCTTGCCTCTGACTTAGAATCTGATTTATTTAATTTATTTATTGTATCTGTTTAGTGAGTTTAGAAACTGGTATTTTAGAAATAGAAACATGGATAGAATTCTATGAAAACCATGATTTAGTATTTATCAGAAAACAATAATAATAGTCTGCCTGAAAAAATCCGTGCATACGGAAAAACAAATGAACCAGTTCTTCAAAGAAAGCCGCTGCTGAGATGATTATTTCCCCCACAGTACAGGGATTATGGATCAGTCTGTCGAAGATCTAGCTGATGAGTAAAAGCACTTAACTGTAAACAGTGAAACATTGGATCCTTTCTTGCTTCAATCTTAGTCTCGTAAAAATGGGAATCTTGTTAAGAATTGGGAACATTTCCACAATTTAGTGTCGTATCTCCTAGTATCCTTTCTCACATCTGCTCCTGTTCAGAGTTCAGATTCAGAATGTACATGTTACGGTTAGGCTGTGGATTTACAACATCGACTTTATCATGAGACAAGTTACTACTTCCTAAGTTGTAAGTATCAAAGCGACTGGACTAAAATGTTCACATCAATGAGATGTACCTCTTCATAATTTTAGCAAATGTTTTACTGATTGTGACAATTTACTGAAATATAAACAGATATTCACTCAATACCCACTCAAAACTTTTGGTTCTGAGGAAGGGTCACTGGACCCGAAATGTTAACTCTGATTTTTTCTTCACAGATGCTGCCAGACCTGCTGAGCTTTTCCAGTAACTTCTGTTTTTGTTTCTCAGAGATTGATTTAATGGATTTCAATCATAACATTAAACATCAACTCAACCAGACAAAGCTGTGCTAAAGAACAACTGAGTTGTGTAACAAATTAATGTCTCTTATTATGGCTAAATTTGAGGAAAACAACAAGTATAATTTCTTGTATTAATGTAATTAATCCTTTCACAATACTGTCAATAATTTGACATGCTCACAAGTAAACATTACTAAAATCTTAACAACAGCACTTTTACTGTTGAAAACCCATGTTTTTTTCAAGTATATGTTCCTTAAATAATCCCTGCAAACTATTCCTATTTCTCCAAGGAGCATTACCTTACAAAAGATGTAACAAGGCACAAAACTTAACAATATTTCTCAAAGACATTTGTGAAACAAGCCTGTAAAGGTGCAACTTTTATGTAAAAGCAAAATACTGAGGATGCTGGAAATCTGAAACAACACACGAAGAATGCTGGAGAAACTCAGCAGGTCTGGCAGCATCCGTGGAGAGGGAAACAGAGTTAACACTTTGAGTCCAGCATGACTCCACTTCAGAACAGCATTCTGTATTTTTTGCGACTTTTGCATGTTAATGCATAAATTATTAAGTACTTAAAAATTAATCTGCAGCCTATATGCCAACTTTGTGCATCATGCATTTTAAGATCAATAGCCTTAAAATTTCAAGATCTTCCCCCTACCTAATGTTCACAGTAACATGGATCACAAAAAGCTTGATTTGCTTGGATGCGCCGTTAGACAAAATAGAATTATGTACCGTGTATAAGATTCTGAAAATACAAAATCTCAAGATCTAGGACTACGAATGTGTAATTACAAAACTCTGAGGTGTACACAGAAATATTCTGCACCAGTGACAACCCAACAATTTAGTATGCTTCTGTTCACTATAGTTCAATACAGCATCTCACTGTATCAATGGAAGGACCTATGCCCCTACAGACCAGTGTGGACCAAGACAACATGAAGGACTTTGTCTTAAAACGTTGCAATTTAGTCTACATTCATGTGCCATTGGTTACTGATGAATATACCTGCAACACCTGCATTAGCACAATTAATAAGGCAGAATAAATCACAACATGAAAGAAATTTTAAGAAACACTTCTGCTTGAAGTACAGAAGAACTTGTTACCTGTCAACTATCTTAAAAAGGTACCAACCAATTACATATAAAAATGTAGTGACAGTGCAAGGTGTAAGCTGTATGTAGTGGGTCAGTGTCAAAGTAAAAGTAAAAATCAACACCATTGAAAAGGGCCTATTTGCACACCAACAAATTTTTCAGCTAAAGTGTCACAGAAAAATTAATTTTACCAAGAAGAATTATTTTTAAAATATCAACCTGAGAGATCTACATTCAATACTTGACAGAAAAGTTCATGTGAAAGTGTATGCCTTGTAAAAACAGTAAGCTGAAAAAGACAGTAAGTTATTACATGCTCTATAGCTGGTTTCTACTCATCATTCCACACAGAAAAGCTGTTTAAATGGATCTCATGCACAGCAATCATTGAGCCACTTATATAAAAACTTCAATGCATAATTTAAAAATCAAACAAGTTCTTAGTAGAACTTAGTAAAACCAGTTCAGAGGAAGGATCACCGGACCTGAAACATTAACTCTGTTTTTTCCTTCACAGATGCTGCCAGACCTGCTGAGCTTTTCCAGCAACTTTGTCTTTGTTCTTAGTAAAACTGTTTATTTCATCCTTGAAGCAAGTTTCTGGGAGCAGCTAAAGACACACATCCGTCACATTCAAATTCTTTCCTATAGGTTTAAATCCAAGCCAACAGAAACAGACTAATTTACAGACCAAAAACAGAACATTTATCGTTAAGGATTTAACTGGCAGTCAAATTCATAACAAGTAAGAATTTGATCAAGTTACCCAATGTTAGTATTTTCAAAATTTAAGGAAGAAATTAGGGAACTTCTTTAATAAGGATAAATAATTTGAAGATGAAAGACAGAATTACATCAGTTAATATAAAAAAATCACATTGATTGTACAACACATTGCTTCTGTAACAACATATTTAACTAATGATGATGTAGCCCCGTTTCTGCAAATGTATAGACAAACATCAGAAATAACCTTGCCCTTACGATTTATGTGCTTTTACTATTGAATTCAACAGAAAATGCAATACAAGATTTATTGAAGTAAAATTAAACTGCATTTAACATGACAGGAAAATTGTCATCATTGCATCCTTCAAACAGAACAAAACAAATAACTTGATTATAATCACTATCAGACCATAAGTAAGGAAAAGTGACATTCGTACTCTGCCCAAAAGGGTGGTGGAAGCCTATTCAAAGGTACTTTTCAAAAGCGAATTGGATAAATATTTGAAAAGTGCAACTTGGCAGGGGTAATGACAAAAGAGACGAGGCTTAAGGACTTATTGCAGATTTTGTTTCAAAGCGGCAGCAAAGGCATAATAGGTCAGAAGGTCGCCTTCTAGATTATTATGAGAAATTAAACAGACCACAACTGTGTTTAACACCGAACAAGGGAATGTGACAATTGGGAGGAAACGCTGTGATACGAACTGACAGATCGATCTCAGGCGCGCCGTGAGAGAAATATTCTTAAAAACATATGGATAGCTGGTTTGTATTTAAATTAATCGACTAAGCGAACTAGGAGGTTTGGGTATCAACATCACACCCTACATAGAGGCGGAGAGGGAAGGCAAAGCTCGAAACACTGCGGCACAATGAATGACAGGGGGGGGTTAAGAGTGGCACCGGGCCCGGGATTGATGTCAAGCTCCCTCTGCACCGGAGAGTAGCCCGAGGCTCGCAGGGCCCCGGTCTCTGTCACAAACTTACCGGCCTCCGTCAAGCCGCCGACCCAGCCGCTCTCATGCCTCTGATCACTGCTGGAACGTTAGTTTCACACAGCCATAAATTTCACAGATTGATGCTGAATAGAATTCGCGATCTGCTCCCTCCTCCCCCTCCCATCCCCCCCCCCTCCAAAACCCGTCAACACAGGGACCAGCATCCACAGAGAACTACCCACTGGCCGACCCCCCAAACAGCCGCGCTCCCATTGGGCCCTCCTCGACGGAGGCGTGTATCGGGCTGCAGTAAGGTGCCGTCCCATAGGTCGACGCGTCAGCCAATCAAAATCTAGGGCCGGCTGCGTGGTGACGTCAGGACCCGCCCCGGCGGCTGCGAAAACTCCACCCACTGGAGGGATCGCGCAAACTTTTCTGTTCCAAGATAACAAGGTGTAGAGCAGGATGAACACAGCAGGCCAAGCAGCATCAGAGGAGCAGGAAGGCTGACGTTTCGGGCCTAGACCCTTCTTCAGAAATCTAGTACTATATTCAGCATTTTGTTATGTTACCTTGATTTAGTTATTTAAGGTATAATTTGCCTGGATAGCACACAAAACAATGCTTTTCACAGAAAACAACAAATGTTGGAGATCACAGTGGGTCAGGGAACATCCATGGAGAGAGTGCAAGCTAACTTATCAAGTCTAGATGACTCCTCATATTCGCTGTATCTCGATATGTGACAGTAATAGTCTGGGAGAGGGCCGCGCATGCGCCTCTTAGTCACCATGGGAATAAACGCGCATGCGCTTCGCCAGGACCTGCCGGCGAAGCCATTTTCTTCGCTGGTCTGCTGTTTATTGTCAGCTTTCTGCTTCCCTGGAAGGGGTCTTTGTGGTGCACTGCTAATGTCCCTATCTCTGAACAAGAAGGCCTAGGTTAGTTCAAGTCTCACCTGCTCCAGAACTGTGAAATAACATCAGAAAACAAAATTGAACAATAATTCTTTTGTGCAGTGGTAATGACCCTACTTCTGAATCAGGAGGCTTGGGTTCAAGCCCTACCTGCTCGAGAGATATGTCATGACATCTCTGGACAGTTTGATTTGAAAAATATCTTTGATTTGATTTATTACTGTTGCATATTGAGACACAGCGAATCTGATGAGTCATCTAGACTTGAAAAGTTAGCTTGCATTCTCTCCATGGATGTTCCCTGACCCACTGTGATCTCCAGCATTTGTTGTGTTCAGTGAAAAGTATTGTTTTGTCTGCTATCCAGGCAAATTATACCTTGTATAACTAAATCAAGGTAATAGAACAAAATGCAATATAGTATTACAGCTAAAGAGAAGGTGCAGGGAAAGATCAACTTTATTATATGAGACCTCTGTTCAAAAGTATAAATAATGGTTCTCATAGTCAAGTGGTAATGTTCCTAACTCTGAGTTGGACCTGTTTGAGAGGTGTGTCATGTCATCTTTGATCAGAAAAAATGTCTGCAGCCCACCTGGAGTCAAAAAATTCAACTTATACAGGGAGCACTGATTTCTGGTAGTCCCTGACTTCAATCTCAGATTTGAGTAACCTGGTTCTCAAATATTCTTCTTTTCACTTAGCTGAAAAGCCAAGCAGTTATATTGGAGGCAATGATGAATTTCACTGTTTATGCCTCAAGAAGACAACGGGTTCCCAAGTTATGGAGAATGATCCATGTTCACAGCATCCCACTGTTAATCTTAATCAATGGGGTTGGAGTGGGAAATGGTTGTGCTATGACTTTCTGAGAATTACTTTGGGATGTTCAGACTGTTTTCCTTGTCAGGGAGGAAGCTGAAAGGAGATCTGACATGTTCAAGATAGTGAGGGCTCTGAACAGAGTAGACAGGGAGTAACTGCACCCACTTGTGCAAGAATCAAGAATGACAGGGTGCAGATTTAAAGTAATGGACAAAGGAAGCAAGGCAGTAGTTTGGATTTGGAATACACTGCCTGAGACTGTGATGGAGGCAGGTTCTGTGGCTTTAAGAGATGTGTTTTGTCTTGGTTACTTTTAAAACGAGATGGGGTACAGGTAATGAGCAGTCTGTGAGAAGACAAACAACTTGTGAAGCCTTGGGATTTTTTTTAAAGTTGTAACAGTAGTGCAGCATGTATGGATGTGATCAAGCTCTCACAGATCCAGGATTTTTAGTTAGGTTTCAGCAGTTGTTGCTGGGGTCTCAGTGGGATAGGAAAGCAGTGAATCCCTCCTGGCTACTACATTCTCACTCATAATTGTCTTTTGATGTTCTTTCCTCATGGATTAGAGAACTGCATGTGAAATAGTCTGTTTTCTGAATTTGCCTTTTTGCTAAGGGTGTGTTTATGAGATGTTACCAAATTGGAACAGTTAATTAGTCATATTTACTATTTATTATTGTGTTAAGTTTTCCAATAGAATTAGGTTATTGTAAGTTCTTCTGTCTTTTGTTGTGTTTTAACTATAGTGTTTGAATAAATTGTGTTTTGCTTAACGTTAAGTAGTTTGACCAATCAAATTGCATCTGGAACACAGCACCTAACATTTACCTTTAAAATAAAAACAAATTTAGAGTCTAGGCTACCTTCTTAATATATTTTGAGGAGGTCTGGTCTGGTCCATGACAGTATTTTCAAAAGAGAATTAGCCTGTTGCCTGAAAAGGAAGACTTCTTGGTAAGGGGAGAAGGCTGGAAAATGGCAATTAGTTAAAATGACCAAAGATACAGTGGACTGAATAGTCTCCTTCTATGCTGTAACAATTCTGTGATTCTGGGTATTTGGCCCAATTTCTCACTTACTCATCAAGGACGTGCCCTCAACCCTTCTTGAAAAGACACCCCAGCTTTTTTTTTTAACCTTCACCACCCCATACCAATCTTCTGCTTAATGATGTAGATTCTTCTAGAATTGCCTAATTATAGCTGTCTGTTTGTAAGTAGAAATAAAAATAGGAAGTGGTGGAAATACTTAGCAGTTTGTAAGAGCATTTGTGGAGAGAAGTGGAATAAACATTTCAGGTCTGTGACCTCTGATCCAAACTAGGAGAAATTAGAGATGTAATAAGCTTTCAGCAAGGGCTGGGCAGGACAAAAACAAAAGAAAGTTTTGTGACAGAAGAGTTTGAAAGACTGAAGCATTAGTCTTACATTGCCAAAGAAATTGGTGATGGGTCAAGAAAAGAAACAGAAATAAAAAATGTGCCTAGAATAGATGCGATGCTGACTGAAAAGAAAATGAAACAAGCAAAGAAAATGAAATGGAACAGAGATTATAGTCTGAACCCAGCAAAGAGTTTGGAAAGCTGAATTCAAAGGTGACACGCTGTTCCTCAAGGTTGTGCTTAGCTTCACTGGAACACTGCAGCTAGCAAAGTACGGAGATGTTAGTGTGGGAGCCAGATGTCAAATGACAGACCACTAGAAGCTCAAGGTGGTCCTTACAGGTGTTCCATGAATTGGTCACCAAATCTCCATTTGGTGTCCCCAGTGTAGGGACCATGTAAATAGTGAATACAGTAGATAAAACTGAAAGCATACTTAAATGAGATACAACAAAGTGTGGAGCTGGAGGGATACAGCAAGTCAGGCATCATCAGAGGAACAGGAAAGTTGACGTTTCAGGTCGGGACCCTTCTTCAGAAATTTTCCAGTAGGGTCCTGACCCAAAATGTCAACTTTATTGCTCCTCTGACGCTACCTGGTCTGCTGTGTTCCTCCAGCTCCACACACTGTTATCTAGGAATAAATTGGTCTTTTGCCAAGTGGCAGACAGTGATTAATGGGGTGTTGTAAGTATTAGTGCTTGGGCCCAGCTATTCACAATATATATAAAAGACCTGGATGAGGGAACTAGAAAGCCATAGAAATATACCGCATGGAAACAGACCCTTCAGTCTAACTCGTCCATGCCGACCAGATATCCTAAATTAATCTAGTCCCATTTGCCATAATTTGGCCCATATCTGTCTAAATCCTTCCTATTCATGTTCCCATCCAGGTGCCTTTTAAATATTGTAATTGTACCAGGCTCCACCATCTCCTCTGATAGCTCATTCCATACATACACCATCCTCTATGTGAAAAGGTTGCCCCTCAGGTCCCTCTTAAATCTTTCCCTTAAACCTTAAATCTGTGCCCTCTATTTTTGGACTCCCCTACCCTGGGAAAAAGACCTTGGCTAATCACCCTATCCATTCTCCTCATGATTATATTAGACCAAATGAAACATTTCCAGTTTTGCTGCTGACACAAAACTGGATGAGATTGTGAATTGTGAGGAGGATGCAAGGAGGCCTCAAGGTGATTTAGATAAATTGAGAGAGTTGTCAAACATATGCAGAAACAACACAACATGGCTAACTGTGAGGTTAATCACTTACGTATAAAAAATCAGAAAGGCAGCATATTATTCAAATGGTGATATATTGGGAATGTGGATGTACAAAGGGATCTGGATGTCCTTGTATGCCAGTCTATGAAAGTAAACAGGCAGGGTCAGCATGTAATTAGGAGGCAAATGGTACATTGGCCTTCATTGCAAAAGGATTTGAATTCAGAAGTAGGGATACCTTACTGAAATTATACAGGACCCCAGTGAGACCACACGTGGAGTATTGTGCACAGTTTTGGTCTCCCTCCCTAAGAAAGGATATAACTGAGGAAGTTCAGTGAAGATTCATGAAGTTGATACTCAGGATGGCAGGAATATCCAAGAGGAGAGATTGATTCCACTGAGCCTGTATTCATTAGAGCTTATAAGGATCTTGTTGAAATGTATAAAATTATAACAGGGCTGGACAGACTAATTACAGAGAGGATGTTTTCCTTGTTTAGGGAGTCTGGAACTAATTTCAGGATATGGAGTAAACCATTTAGGACTGAGATTCAAGAAAAATTTCTTCACTCAAACGGTATTGTGTGAAATTCTCTACCACAGATCTCTATGGAGGCCAAATCACTCAATATATTCATGAAAGAGATACATAAATTCTTAGATTTAAATGTATCAAAGGGTATAGGGAGAAACCATCCTTTTAAATTCTAATGAATACAGGCCCAGTGGAACCAATCTCTCCTCTTGGACAATCCTGCCATCCCCAGTATCAAGGTAGACAGACAGGAGGCTGGAAAAACACAGCAAACCAGGC